GCACGGCTGATCCCTCGGCCTAGAATGTTCTTCCCCAACAGGCGCAGGACAGTCTCTTTTTCACAGTTCAAATGCCAAGTCCTCAGAGAGGCCCTCCCTAATCTACTGCAGAGGCTGCACTCTGCCCCTGCTCTCGGTTCTCCCCCCACCCCAGAGCCGGTGCCTGGCACACACTGGGCACTTAATAACATTGCCGAACGAAGGAAAAAAAATCCCCTATTGCTTTCTCAGAATCTTCTTCCTTTTGGTGATTCCACCCCGATCATCTCTAACAACTTTCCTCCACTGGATGTTTTCCTGCCTGTCCATGCTATTTCTCTCCCCTGGGCTCTGGAGACCACCCCCATCTTCCTTCTCTGACATCCACTCTATCAATCACATGCCCACTCTGCTGCTCTCCCTAACGTAACCTTTTTTTTTTTTTTAATTGGGGCCTTCCTCAGCATTAAAACATACGTAAAGTCCTACCTCAGACTCATACCTCCAAAACACAAAGGAAAACCCGCTGGCTCTCCCCAGTTTCTAGGTTCCTCCCTGGTTAACATCTTACGTATCTCTTCACCTCCGGAGCAAAATCCCAAAGAGAACCCCGAGTGCGTCATGCTTTCTTGACTCCTCCAAGGCTTCCTGCTGCCTGCCAGGTCTCGCAATGACCTAACTCTGTCTGCAGCCTTCAACCCTCAAAGCAGACATCTGGACTCGGCCTCCTCCTCCGGCCTCCATGGCACCCTTCTCTCTCAGTTCTACTCTTGACTGTGCGGCGATTCTTTTGCAGGCTCCCTTTTTTCTCTCCTTCTATGCCAAGATTCCACAGCCTTCTTGTTCCTCCTCATGCTATGAACTCTCCAAGATACCTTCAACCTCTGCTACCATCTGTATGCTAATAACTCTCCAGTGCTTGTTTCCAGCTCTCTCCCTCTAGTTCTACACGTATGTCTCCAACTGCTCATGGAACATTTCCACTTGGTTGCCTGTACATGCATTTCAAACCCAAAAAGTTCAAGATCACCTGCGCCCAAATATGTGCCTCTTCTTGTAATCCCAGACCCAATTCTTCCCCACTGAGATATCCAACCCAGGAAGAGGGGCGAAAACTCAGCCTCCTCCGCACCCCTCTCTAAATGCAGAGCCAAGCCTGACTTCTTCCTCTCCAATCTGTCTTTGATTAATCCTTTCTTCTTTAAGAGGTACTACACTACTCTGGCCCTCCCCATCTCCCATCACACAGAACCCTGCCTCCTAACTGGTCTCCCATGTGCCCAGGGTGGCTACCGGTCTGGCTGTCCCCCATGCACGCATGGTAGTTTCCTTCTAAAACAAAACCCTGAGCATATTACCTTCGCAGACTCCTGACTATAGCAGGATGAGGACCAATCATCTCCGTGTTAGCACACACCCTTCCATGGCCTAACTAGGCTTGTCCACTCACCTTATGCACGCAGTTCCAGTCATGCCAAACTAATGGGGCAACTGAGACTTCATGCCTTTGTTTATAGTGTACTCCTCACCTGGAATATCCTATCCAGTTATCTCCCCACACAACTCCAGCTTCTCTAAGACTCGGCACAGTCACGGTCCTCCTGCTGCAAAGTGTCCGTGATACCCCCAAGTGGCCTACCCTATGCTTCCTCTAAATTTCCACTGCCTCTGTTACACATTTCCAAAGATCACACAGTATCCCTGTTAGCCACTTAAAATTTTTTTTTAATGTTTATTCATTTTTTGAGAGAGAGAGAGAAAGAGTGGGGGAGGAACAGAGAGAGAGGGAGACACAGAATTTGAAGCAGGCTCCAAGCTCTGAGCTGTCACCACAGAGCCTGACACGGGGTTCGGACCCATGAACTGTGAGATCATGACCTGAGCTGAGGTCGGGCACTTAACCGACTGAGCCATCAAGGCGCCCCAGCCACTTTATATGTCTTTTCACATCAGAACGTAAGCCCTTGGATTTCAAGGATGATATACTTCTTTTATGATTCCCTAAGACTTAGCAAAATGTATGGCACATTTACGACTGAGTAAACCTGGAGTTCTATGTATACTGCATTACTCGCAATTTCTGCCAACCCTCTCTAAGGTTTATTGCACTTCGAGACTGAGGCATATATTCTTTTTCTTTACCTGGAATGCATCCCATTTTCTGGTCCAAGAAGGCATAACTTCATAGTGAAAAAAGTACAAATGTCTAACACATAAACCTGGATTCGAAACTGTCTTCTATACTAACTAACTGCATGTCTCGGGTTAAATCATAACCTTAATAAACTTTGGATTCTTATACCGTGAAACTGAAGTAATATTCACCTTGAAGAGTTGCTTTGAGGATTAAGATCACACCAAACACCCGGCGGACAGTTAGTGTCGGCACCTTACACATTATCTAAGCTCACATCATCTCCTCTGTGGAACATTTCTCAGTTACTTTTGAAGAGTTAGATAAGCCCTTCCTTTCTGCCCTCCTATACTAACCTTTAATTCTATCATAGCACTATTGTGTTATTTTATAATTTTGAGTTTTAGTTATCTGCATTCCTCCATTAGTTATGAGCTCCTGGTTATGGGGAGTTTTGCCTTGTTTGGTGGGAAAGTTATTTGCTGTTTAAGAATATTCTTCATCCAAATTTTCTAGGTTAGAAGGTTAAAAAGGTTTGAATGAGAAAGTGCACCTATGACCCAACCACCATAAAATTAAACATCTCTCCCCGTTTAAAACTAGCAACGTGCCTTTCATTTGTGTCAACCTCTAGCCGATTCATTAAGGAACATCCAACAACCCAATTCAAATATGACGCAAACTGACCATAAAACCAAAGTGCAATTCTTGCAAAAGAAAAAACAGGGGCGCCTGGGTGGCTCAGTGGGTTGAGCACCCGACTTCGGCTCAGGTCATGATCTTGCAGTTCTCGAGTTGAGTTGGAGCCCAGCATCATCGGGCTTGCTGCTGTCAGCCTGTCAGCGCAGAGCCTGCTTCGGATCCCCTGTCCCCCTCTCTCTTTGCCCCTCCCCCACTCATGCTGGCTCTCAAAAAATAAAAGCCTTAAAAAAAAAAAAAAGAGGAAAAAGGTATCAGTAAATGGATGAAAATTATGTTGCAGAATGTCCAAATTACATGCAGTTTTGACAAGTGAAAAGCTGATGAAATAAAGAGTTAACTAAAAAACCAACAAATATGAAGACAAGACACTTCAAAAGAAATCACTGTTGATATTAAAGAAACAATACTTGGGGCGCCTGGGTGGCGCAGTCAGTTAAGCGTCCGACTTCAGCCAGGTCACGATCTCGCGGTCCATGAGTTCGAGCCCCGCGTCAGGCTCTGGGCTGATGGCTCAGAGCCTGGAGCCTGTTTCCGATTCTGTGTCTCCCTCTCTCTCTGCCCCTCCCCCGTTCATGCTCTGTCTCTCTCTGTCCCAAAAATAAATAAACGTTGAAAAAAAAAATTTAAAGAAACAATACTTTTATCAAAGAAACAATACTTTTTCCAAAAACATTTACCAAAAAGACCCTTTCTGAATGGGCTACAAAAAAAGTCAACGCTAAGTGGAGATTGTTACATCTTAGTCTAATGCAACCCTGTTGGAAAAGATACACACAAAAATCAACACATGACTTATTCTTCATTCTAAGGAATAAGCCATAGTTGCAATTACAACATTCTGAGACATATAAAACATTTATTTTCATAATCTTTTGGGTTGATTTTCAAGGTAAAAATCCCAAGAAAGGGACGCCTGGGTGGCTCAGTTGGTTAAGCGACCCACTTCCACTCAGGTCATGACCTCGCGGTTGGTAAGTTCGAGCCCCACGTAGGGCTCTGTGCTGACAGTTCAGAGCCTGGAGCCTGCTTCGGATTCTGTGTCTCCCTCTCTCTCTGCCCCTCCCCCACGCACATTCTGTCTCTCTCTCTCTCTTTCTCAAAATAAACGTTAAAAAAAAAAATCCCCCAAAGCTCCTTCCTATCCTACCTCTTTCTGTGTGTGAAATTCTGAGTTCTATTTTAATGTATCTACTTTCAGTGGTCTTTCTTGTCAATTACCCAGGTTTGAGCAAGTCCACCATTATCCTTAGTGCTTGTACTGGACACTCAATGAATGTCTCATCAACGACTGCAAGACGAAGACAAGGGTTCAATCTTTTATGCTGATCTTTTGCCCCAAAATGACCCAGTGGACTGGGAGTCCTCGAGGCTAAGTCACATTCTAAATCCCTCTGAAACCTCAGATCCATTCTGGGCATCGGAGGCACTATTTCACAAATTTCTCAATGAATCTCACAGATGTCCAACAATCATGTCTAAAAGTTTAAGGTTCTACGATTTATGTACAAAACACTGTACTCACTGCGGTAAGGGTGGGGAGGTGGAGCCACAAAGCTTAAGAACACTCCCTGATTTTATATACATTTTGGGAGCCATGGCAGAGTGCACATGAATGCACAGCTCAATGAACTGACGGATTCCTCAAATTCCAAGACTGTCCTCACGTTTCTATTCACCTGACAGCTAAAAGAGAAGGGCTTTGCTACACCAGCTTGAGACGGAGAACTAAGATCACCAGTGCTTTGCAAACATTACGTTCTTTCCTCTCTGTCTTACAGTGACTGGAGCGTCTGTGCCTCCGGTTCAAAGCTCTGCCCAGTTCTGTTCAAAAGAGGAAGAAAACCCACCTCAACAAAAGTGAAGCGTCTCGCACAGCGGGTGGGCTTGGGAGATCCCGGAGCGGGCGCAAAGCGCCCGACCCTCCCACCCGCGGCTGGGCGGGGGCGCCGCCCTCCTCCGTCCGGCACCAGGGGCGCGGCCGCTTCCTCCCTCCTCCCCTGTCTCCAATCCTAACCCCGCGCCGCCCCTCGGCTCCGGCTCTCCAGGGCGTGGGAGAACAGTGATACCTGGAGATTGGACGAGGTGGATGCCATGGCGGAGATCCGAGGCGGCTCCCAGGGGAAGAACTAGGGCAGAGGAAGCCAACAGCGGCAACGTCGAACCGCACCCGGTGTTGCCTCAAACGTGCGCAGGCTGGTAGCCCTCGGACCCGGAGCGACGCCTCCCCTTCGCGAACTGGTTCCAAAACCGCAAGCCGCTCCGAGCGCCGCCGACCCTTCTCGGAAAACTTCCGCAATTCTGAGCCCCCTCCGGGCTCTCGTCCCGCCTCTGGCCTCAGCACTTCCGCTTTCGTCATCAGCACGCGCGCTACCCAGTCTCCAGCCATTCTGGTCTCGCCTCGGCCCCGGGGTCTCGCGATGCCGGGAGCCCGGAAGCGCTCCCGGGCCTAGTGGAAGTCAGGCTGGGCGCAAGCGCACTGTGGCTCTTACGTAGGGGCGGAGGTGCGTCCGAGAGCCAAGATCTGTTACGTTTTCTTCTTTTTCCAGATGTTTTACACTTGAGGTGAATTATTGGCTCTGGCTCCTTTCAGTCCACATCATGGAGCGTGCCCTGTAGTTCTGTGGCTTTTGAGTGAAAAAGTCATCCCGTCCCCAAGACCCACCATTTGGGGACTTGGGCCTCGTTTACTGTGTCTCATTCATTACGTTTTCTCCTCTGTAAGATGGGGTTAATTATATATAGTACCCACCCCAGGATTGTGAAGAATGCTAGTAGCATGCGCTGGCATAGTGTTGGGTGAACAGTAAGATCTCAGTAAGCCTCAGCGTTTATTACTCAACACTGTACACTTTATTCAATAAGTTGTCATGGCTCCGTGAGGTCCTGAGAATGTTAGTAAAAGACAGGTGTGGTTGCTGTCCTCTAGGAGCTCACGGTTTGGTGGGGAAGCAGGCTCCTGAACACAAGTCTTATGAAACTGGCAGATCAGATTATCTTTTACACCATTTATAAGGAAGGTTAATGACGAGAGGTTAAGTGCTTTCTGTGAGATCACATGTCAGGGATTAGTCGCAGACCTACAATAAGACGTCGCCTCAGCCTTTCTATCGTTTGCAGTCAAAATCCTCTTTTTCTTCATCCTTATGTAGGTAAGCTTCCCAAAGGAAAGTGAAATAGGTATTTAATCATTCCTCCATTTTATTTCCTACTCACTCCCTAATTCTTCCCGATCATCTGATGTCTCCTAAAGTTCTTCCCTCGCCCTTCTTACTAGGTATTGTCAACTACCCAGTTCTTGAACTCTCACTTGTAGAGAATCCTAATATTCTTTGTCTTTCTCCTTCACTGTCTCCCCTTCTTTTTTTTTTTTTAAAAAAAAATATTTTTATTTATTTTGAGAGCAAGCGGGGGAAGGGCAGAGAGCGAGTGAGACAGAATCCCAAGCAGGCTCCATGCCATCAGTACAGAGCCTGATGCGGGGTTTGATCCCAAGAACTGTGAGATCATGACCTGAGCTGAAATCAGGAGTCAGATGCTTAACCGACTGAGCCACCCAGGTGTCCCACTGTTTCCCCTTCTTATTCTTCTCTATCTGTAGCATTGTGTCAAGAGTCATGTTCTCTTTAATCAAACTACTCCATCCCTGCTCATCTTATCCCCTTCCTGGACTTTATATAGCAATATAATAGAAATGACTTCCAATCTACATCTCTAGGCCTAATGCTGTCTTCTGTCTTGCACTCATAACCTTCCAGAGATCTCCAGAAATCACAGGACTTTCCCACAAGACAAATTCAACACATTTGAAGTCAAGTTAATGATCATCTACCCCAAACTTCTCAGAATAACATCACGAAAACTCCATCATCCAGGCTCAAAGCTCAAAGTCAGCCCTCTCTCTGCCTTCATCTGCCAGTTCACCTTTCCACCCCTCTGTTCCCTTCCACTTACTGATAAATGCTGTAGGGATCGCAGCCCTTACAGTGTCAGCACATCATGGACATTTAATAAATACTAAACCTTTTAACTGAGCTGCTTAAAAGAAATTGCTAGATCCTTAATGACTGTTGGATAAACCTGATTTTCCCTGAAGATACAACTAGGCTCCAATTTACCTTTCACCTCAATCCCTAAGAGTCTATGGAACACCCACTAAACGTAAGTCGACTAGGCATTAAAAAACTACAGAGATGAATATGATATGGTCTTTGCCATTCAGGAGTTTACAATTTAGTGGAAGACACAGACACATAATAGTGAAAAGAGAATCCACTGATATAAATTACCACCATGTGCCAGGCTGCTGTGGATATTGGATATGAACCAAACAGTCAAAAATCCCTCTTTTATCACTATCAACAAATCGTGTTAGTATCACGTACCCTCAATATTCAAAGAGAAGGCTATCATCTGTAAGGTATTTTCAAAAACCCATAATTTTAGTCTACTCGTGAGAAAACACAAGAAAAACACAAATTGAGGGCTTTTCTACTTCTAAAAAATGCCTAACCAGGCTCTTCAAAAATGTCAAAGTAATGAAAGATAAGAAAAGACTGAGAAACTGTGACAGATTGCAGGGAACTCAGGAGACACGACAACTAAATGCAATATGGGATTCTGGATTGGATCCTGGAACAACAACAAAAGACATCAGTGGAAAAACTGATAAAAAAAAACACAAATTAAGTCTGGATTTTAGCTAATAGTACTACACCGAAACAAATTTTATAGGTTTTTTTTTATGTTTACTTATTTTCGAGAGAGACAGACAGAGTGCAAGCAGGGCAGGAGCAGAGAGAGGGGGAGACACAGAATCTGAAGCTGGCTTCAGGCTCTG